TCTCCAAGCTGCTTGAAGGAAGTTTTCTCAAAGTGCCGTTGGGCAAAACAAATACGTGTGGTTCACTTGATACGGGATAAGGCAGGTAGCTAGATGGGGTCACCAGCTGGAAGGCACACCTCCCCCGACCCATGTAATCTTATCCACCCACCTGTCAGTCAGATGACCCCTTCCCCAGGGTGTACTTCCCCTTACCTGGGACTTGGGGGTGGTATCAGGTACCAGCTTCTAAGCTCCTAAGACGCCTAGTAAAGGGAAGGGCTCACTCTCTCCCCACGCAGGGTATGGAAATCTCTTTCTTTTCCTTTCCTGGCCCACTCTCCTGAACAATGCCCACGTATGCATGTGTGTGTGCGTGTGCGTGCGCATTCACGTGTGCGTGTGTGTGTGTGTGTTCCTTACCTTGTAAATAAACTATCACTTTGTACATTGTGTTTGTACCTGTAGTTAGAATGCTTCTCTAAGTCAGAGGCAAGAGCCTGGATTAGGAATTTAGGCCCAACCTAGCCCACAACACATGTATGTGGGAGATCAGAGAGGAAATTATTAGAACCGTCACAGGAGCCGGTGCTGTGGCATAGTGGTTAAAGCCGCCACCTGCAGTGCTGGTATCCCATATGGGCACCGGTTCAAGTCCTGGCTGCTCCACTCCCAAACCAGCTCTCTGCTATGGCCTGGGAAAGCAGCAGAAGATAGCCCACGTACTTGGGCTGCTGCACCCACATGGTAGACACTGAAGAAGCTCCTGGCTTTGGATCAGTACAGCTCCGGCCGTTGCAGCCAACTGGGGAAGTGAACCAGCAGATGGAAGACCTCTCTCTCTCTGCCTCTCCTTCTCTCTCTGTGTAACTCTGACTTTCAAATAAATAAATAAATCTTTAAAAAAAAAAAAAAAGAACCTTCACAAACGATTAAAAATTCCATATGAATGCCTACCATGCCCACCAGATGAGGGGGATTTAAAGCACAGACACTCTACAGTTTGCTCTTGGACAAAATGGAAAGGAGAGGGAAGAATCTGGAGACTGATGATTGAGAACCAGCACTGATCTGATGGGACTTCCTCTTTTGCTTTTTTCAAAATTACTAACAATAATAAAACTAATCTTGAAACAAGGTTTTACAGTTGTTTGTCAAATAAATCTTGCCTTGCAGGAGCCATATGGGTCATTTCAGTCCAAAATTCTCATAAATGCACCATCTGAAGCACACTGTTAGTGCTAGCACCTACCACTTCTTGCTTGTGTTCGGGATTATTTGAAGGAGGGTGAAGGGAAAGCTGAATAAGAGATACTTGGGCCAGCATTGTGGTGTAGTAGGTTAAACCGTCACCTGCGATGCTGGCATTCTATGTGGGCTCCAGTTAGTGTTGCGGCTGTTCCACTTCCAATCCAGCTCCCTTTCAAGTGCCTGGAAGGGAAAGGATGGCACTGTGGGGTAGCAGATAAAGCTGCTGCCTGAGGTGCTGGCATCCCATACATCCCGGCTACTCCACTTCCAATCCAGCTCCTTGCTCATGTGCCAAGGAAGGCAGCAGAGAACGACACAAGAACTTCGGCCCTTGCACTCCTGTGGGAGACCCAGAAGAAGCTCCTGCCTCCTGGCTCCGGATCAGCACAGCTCCAGCTGTTCTGGCCACTTGGGGAGTGAACCAGAGGACGGAAGATCTCACACTCTGTTTCTCTCTGTAACTCCACCTTTCAAATAAATATTTTTAGGGGGTGGGGCTGTGGAGTAGAGGGGTAAGCTGCTGCCTGCAGTGCTGGCATCCCATGTGGGCGCCAGTTCGAGACCCTGCTGCTCCACTTCCAATCCAGCTCTCTAATGTGGCCTGGGAAAGCAGTGGAAGATGGCCCAATTCCTTGAGCCACTGCACCCGTGTGGGAAACCCAGAAGATGCTCCTGGCTCCTGGCTTCGGATTGGCACAGCTCCGACCGTTGCAGCCAATTGGGAAGTAAACCAGTAGATGGGAGACCTATCTCTCTCTCTCTACCTCTCCTTCTCTCTCTGTGTAACTCTGACTTTCAAATGAATAAATAAATCTTTAAAAATTTTTTAAAAATAAATATTTTTAAAAATTAAAAATTGAAAATTTATATTTACTGAATAAAAATTTAAAAAATAAATTAATTTTAAAAATTAAAAAAAAAAGTACCTGGGAAAACAGTGAAAGATGGTCCAGGTGCTTGGTTCCCTGCTACCAGCATGGGAGACCCAGATGAAGCTATAGCCTCCTGGCTCTGGCCTGGCCCAGCCCCAGTTGTTGTGGCCATTTACAGAGTGAACCAGTAGATGGAGGATCTCTGTTTCCCTCCCTATGTATCTCTGCCTTTCAAATAAATCAATCTTGAGAGGGAAAAAAAAGTTACTCAAGGTTAAACCTTGGCCTTGGGGGCGGGCGCTGTTGTGCAGCAGGTTAAGCCATTGCCTGCAGTGCTGGCATCCCATTTAGGTGCTGATTCAAGTCCCGGCTGCTTCACTTTCAATCCGGCTCCCTGCTAATGTGCCTGGGAAAGCAGTGGAAGACAGCCCAAGTCCTTGGGCCCCTGCACCCATGTTTGAGATGAGGAAGAAGCTCCTGGTCTCCTGCTTCGGTCTGGCCCAGCCCTGGATGATAATAAATAAGTCTTAAATAAATAAATAAGTCTTAAAAAAAAAGTTTGAGGCCGGCGCCGTGGCTCAATAGGCTAATCCTCCGCCTTGCGGCGCCGGCACACCAGGTTCTAGTCCCGGTCGGGGTGCCGGATTCTGTCCCGGTTGCCCCTCTTCCAGGCCAGCTCTCTGCTGTGGCCAGGGAGTACAGTGGAGGATGGCCCAAGTGCTTGGGCCCTGCACCCCATGGGAGACCAGGTTAAGTACCTGGCTCCTGCCATCGGATCAGCACGGTGCGCCGGCTGCAGCACACTGGCCGCGGCGGCCATTGGAGGGTGAACCAACGGCAAAAGGAAGACCTTTCTCTCTCTCTCTCTCTCTCACTGTCCACTCTGCCTGTCAAAAATAAAAAGTTTGGCTTTGTCCACTTCATCAAAGAGGTCCCAGCAAATCTCCTATCAGCATTCCACATGTTCGTTGACTAAGGTGATTTAATAGACAGCTGAGCTTAAAGAGAGCCACTGGGAAGTAATGGAGCTTTGTTCCCATCAAGTTTGTTCTACACATTTGATAGAGTCAGCCCCGTGGAGTCTCTTCCCCAAACCCCTGCTATGGTTTGAACAGGATTACTCCTGAACTGCAGATGTTTAGAGTTTGAATGTTTAAACACAAGAGCTTTATGTTGTTGGCACTGGCTTGGTGGAAACAGTCCAATTATGGTGTCCAGGAGATGGGCCTAGTGGGAGAGCCTTAGGTCATCAGGGAATACCCCCAGAAAGTGGCTGCTGCACAAAACTCGATTAGAAAAGCCTGAGTCAGGCCTAGCCCTTTCTTAAAAAATATATATATTTGCAACAGAGAGAAAACTCCCATGTACTGGTTCACCGTTGCGACACCCTCCCTCAGATGCCTGCAATGAGGAGGAACCTGGGCACTCACAACTCAATCCAGGTTTCTTATGTGGCTGGCAAAAGCCCAATCACTGGAGCCATCCCCACTGTCTCCCAGAATCTGTGCTAGCAGGAGCTGCAGGAGCTGAGGCATGCACTGAGCCCAGGCATCCCAAAATGGACGGTGGGTGACTTAACCTGTACCTTAACTGCCAGAAAAATGCCCACCCCCTAGCCACTTCCAGCTTCAGGGTTCACCATGTGATCATCTCTGCACACATTTTGCCATTGTCACTCCCCAGCCACATCAGGTGGGCTATTCCACGGGGCCTGCCTGATAGCAGACTGTGAACCTCCAAAACTGTAAGCCAAAAGAAGCCTGTTTCCTTCATAGGTGGCTTGTCTTGCATTTAGTAACAGTGATGAAGAGTTAATACAGCCCTCCTTTCTTTCTCACTTAAATATCTTAGGAATCTAAAATTTATCTACTTATTAATCAAATATTTACTGAGCACCTAATATGTCTCCCAGGCTGTTAAAGAAATATCATGGCCTCTTTTAGGGAACTTCTTTTATCGCTGATACTACCACATCCTTTTAAACCATAAGTAAAATTCTGTGCATTTGATCAAACAAATATCCATGGAGCACTTACAATGAGCTGGTGGAGCCAGGAAAAAAAACCACCAATAAAAAGTCATTAAGGGGAAAAAAAAAAGCCATTGGGGGCAGGTGCTGTGGCATAGCAGGTGATGCCACCACCTGCAGTGCCGGCATCCACATGGACACGGGTTCAAGTCCTGGCTGCTCCAGCTCTGCTATAGCCTGGGAAAGCAGTAGAGGATGGCTCAAGTCCTTGGGCCCCTGCACCTGCATGGGAGACCCAGAAGAAGTTCCTGGCGCCTGGCTTCGGATCTGATCGGATCAGTGCAGCTCTGGCCATTGCGGCCATCTGGAGAGTGGACCAGCAAATGGAAGACCTCTCTCTCTCTGTCTCTCCTCTCCCTGTGTAACTCTGACTTTCAAATAAACAAATAAAATCTTTTTTAAAAATCAGATTTGAAAAACTTTCCAAACCCGGGCGCCCCAAGGCTAGGACGGTGCAAGGCCAGTCAGGGACGAGGCGGGAGCTGCAACAGGCACACAAATCGGCCTCCCTCAACATAGCAGCCGCGCTCCAAGCCCAGGGACGGACAGAAGATCCGGCTGCCGTCGGGAGGACGCTCGCACAGCCGCCCAGAGCGGCTGCGGGCTGGACAGAGGCTGCGGCTCCTGGCGTCCCGCAGGTCACCGACCAGGGGATGTCGGGCCGCGCTCCCCGAGCCCGCGATCGCCGGCGCCCCGAGCAACGCCTGCCCGCCCTTCTCTTTGAAGACGCTGGGAGGAGCCAGTCCAGGAGCCGCCGGAGAGGCTGACCAGGCGGCGCACTCAGCCGGGGCTGGGTTGAAGGACAGCTCGGCGAGAGGGCCGGTATCCCACCGAGGAAGGGGGCGTGGCAGGGACCGGCGTCTGCCTACCTGGATCGGTGCTCCTCTCCGAGCTGCCTAAGCACAGGCTGCAAAACCCGCTCCCGCGGCCTCGGCGCCTTTCCGCAGCCCCAGCGACCCTGCAGTTGAACTACGCTACCCAGCCGAACTCGAGCTGCTGCCCGGCATCCTCGCACCTCAGCCCTGGCAAGCGGGGTCTCCGGGGCCGTGGTCGGGGGTGGGTGGGTGGGTGGGGGAGAGCGCGCCAGGGCCCGCGCACAGCACTGTGGGAAGTGTAGTTTTTGTCGTCTACGCCGGAGCTTCTTCCAGGACCGCCTGATTCTCCCAGGGGTCCTGCCCCTGGTAGGCCGACCTAGGCCTAGCAAACGTTTCCCGAGAGACTTTTAGAGAGGACTCCGCGTCATCAGTGCCTTTCTGAAGTTAGCCCTTGCTTCACTTCCTGGCCACATAAAAACTTAAGTTTCCTTCTCTGTCCCTCAAATCCCCAGCTGCGCCATGCTGATGTTCTTAGGGCTACTGTCTTTAAAAGGCGAAGGAGCGGGGCAGGGCTCGCAAAGAACCGAAGCTTCGAGGGAGGATATTCCTCTAACGGGTCTTTTGCCAGAACAAACTCGAGTTTTAATAATTCTAGGACTCCATTTTCAGAAAAAAAAATTTAATTCCATTTTCCATGAACTTTAAAAAAAAGACTTATTTATTTTATTTGAAAGGCAGAGTTCCAGAGAGTCAGAGAGAGAGAGAGAGAGGTCTTCCACCTGCTGGTTCACTCCCCAGATGGCCAAAACGGCGGGAGCTGAGCCTATCCAAAGCCAGGAGCCAGGAGCTTTTTCCAGGTCCCCACGGGAAGTGCAGGAGCCTTAAGGCCTTTGGCCATCTTCCATTGCTTTCCCAGGTGCATGAACAGGGAGCTAGATTAGAAGTGGAGCAGCCAGGACTCAAACCAGTGTCCACAGGGGGTGGCTGGTGTCACAGACTGGATTTACCTGCTATGCCACAGTGCCGGCACCCAGAATAATTTTTTAAATAAATTTAATAACAGGAAATTTTTTAACACTTAGGTTTGTATTGCCTTTGCTAGGAAGAAGTATTTAATATGCATCTTGTTTAACCCCAAAATGACTATTTGCATTTGAAATTTCATTTCTAAAAATTAATTTTAATTCTTATATAGAAATAGAAATAATTTTTAAAATTTCAGACTGGCCAGGTGCTGTGGCATAGTGGGTAACACCACCGCCTGTGGCGCTGGCATCCCATATGGGCACCAGTTCAAGTCCCAGCTGCTCCACTTCCAATCCAGCTCTCTGCTATGGCCTGGAAAAGCAGTGGAAGATGGGACAAGTCCTTGGGCCCCAGCCCCCATGTGGGAGACCTGCAGGAAGCTCCTGGCTCCAGATCGGCCCAGATCTAGCTGTTGGATCAAGTGCTTGGGTCCCTGCACCCTATGAGAGATCTGGAATAAGCTCCAGGTTCTTGGCTTTGGATAGGCTCAGCTCTGGTCATTAGGGTTATTTGGGGTGTGAACCAGTGGATGGAAGACCTCTCTCTCTTGGCCTCTGCCTCTCTCTAACTCTGCCTTTCAAATAAATAAATAAATAAATATTAAAAAAAAAAAAGGATACACTGAAGTGAAGTAAAATATGTCACAATCATGATATAAAATACTTGTTATATAAAAGGAACTTCAGAAATATGAAATTAAAAGATGTGTACAGAAATATGAAACTAAAATATATGCTTATTTGGTGCAAAAAACTTGAAATCCATGCATAGTTTTTTTCAAAATTCCCATTTTCCATGAATTTTCAAAGGCCTCTTCTATTTACTTATTTACTTGAAAGGCATAGAGACTGAGGGCGAAACAGAAAGACAGAGAGACTTTCCACCTGATGGTTTACTCCTGAAAGGGCTGGAACACACAGAGCTGGGCCAGCCTGAAGCCTGAACCCAGGAACCCTATCCAGGCCCTTTTCCTATCTAATTAACATGTAAAACACAATAGGCCACTTGTAATTACTAGCAAATTGAAGAACATTTTTCATAATGTTTTAATATAGTCATTACATTATTGTCATTGCCATTTATCTGAGAGTATTTGTCAAGAGCATTGGATCTACCATATTCAGATACTGAGCTAGGAACTGGAAAATGCATAAAATGAACAAAATGGAATAGTCCCAGGCCTTTGTGGAGCCTGGAGGTCTTGTCAGGGAGTCAGAGAACTAAAGACAATGAGTGGTGAGGAGGGATGCCTAGTGCAATCAGGGGTGTAGAGAGAACATAAAATCCACTGTAGTTGAAGATTTTTGATGGACCAAAGGATCAGGGTTAGATCCAAATGGCATTAAACTGTGTGTGTGTGTGTGTGTGTGTGTGTGTGTGTGTGTGAAATTCTCCCTTAAATGTGATGTGCCCATGACAAAGCTCTTCATTATTTTAAAAATATGTATCTTAGTGGCAGGGGTTTGCCATAGTAGTTAAGGCACTGGTTAAGATGTCCATGTGTCACACTGGAGCACTCAGCGACTGTTTCTGGCTCTGGCTCTCGACTCCACCTCCCCCTAACACAGACCCTCGGAGACTTCAGTGATGCCTAAGTGGTTGGGTCCCTGCCACCACGGAGGAGACCTGGATTGAGTTCCTGTCTTCAGCCCAATCTAGTCTTCACTGTTGTGGACATTTGGAGAGTAAAGCAGCAGACCACAGTTTCTCTCTCTCTCTCTCTTCCTCCCTTCCTCCCTCCCCTCCCTCTCATAAAAAGTAAAAATAAAATTACATATATAGTCCTAAAAATAGAAACAAAACAAAATAGACATCTTCTAAACCTGACACAGAGTATCTTTTTAGCTTGGAGTCATTCTCCCAGCTTCATTTGAGAATGAACAAGACAAGCCCATAATAAGCAAGGACCTCAAGACTGCTTCCCTTTCCCACAGTCCCATGACAATGAAACTGGGGAGAATCTGTTGATATCTGTGGACTCATTGTCCGTTTGAACTTTAGTTGGAATAAACTGCAGCTATCTTGGATTACCAAGTTTCTTGCATGTGGAAGTCATGTATATGATGACAGAAAAATAGCCTGATCCCTTAATGATCATTGAATCATCATCTCAGCCCTGGGTCACCTAACCTTTGTGCAATGAAAACTGTTGCTCCCCCATTCGTGGAGGAACGACACTGGACCCTGCGCTGTTCTTTTGTCTGCTCGGCCCTTCCCGGGTTTGCTGCTGGTCCTTCCCGGGTTGGCTGCCGACCCCTCCAACTCCGTGGAGGGGCGGCTCCCCCTGCCACTTTCCCCACTTCCGCAGGGGAGCGGCACACCACCGGCTGGCTCTCTCGGGGGCTGCTCAGATGTTCCTCAGGTGTTCCTTCAGATAGATGTTCCTGGTGCATGTTGTCTCTCTCCTCCTTTATAGTCCTCTTCCACCAATCCCAACTCTGCTACCCACACGCCGAGTACGCTGCTCTCCTCCAATCAGGAGCAGGATCAGCTCCTGCAGCTTATCAGTCAAGTTGGCGAGAGGCAGCTGTGTAGAAGTTGTTTACTCCTCTCCCAGCGCCATATTGTGGGAGAGCAGATGCATAGAATAAGTCTTAATTCCAGTAACTTAGTCTAGTCCGAGTTGCTCCCCACAAAAACAAACTTATATCTTGTTTATACTATTGTGTTTAGGACTCTTTGTTTTATCCAGCCAGATTTAACCCTGGCTTAAAAGCATATTGAGTTGCAAGTGTACTAATATATGCATGGGCCACTGTTGTGGCCAAGTGGGTTAAGCTGCTGCCTGCAACACCAGCATCCCATATGAGCACTGGTTTGAGTCACAGCTGCTCCACTTCTCGTTCAACTCCCTGCTAATGCACCTGGGAAGGCAGCAGAAGATGGTCCAAGTACTTGGGCCTGTGACACCCATGTAGGAGACCTGGATGGAGTTTTAGACTCCTGGCTTCAAATTGGCCCAGCTCTGGCTGTTGTGATCATTTGGGGAGTAAATCAGAGAATGGAAGATCTGTCTCTCTCTCTCTCTCTCTCTCTCCAGGCAGAGTTAGACAGTGAGAGAGAGAGAGACAGAGAGAAAGGTCTTCCTTTCGTTGGTTCACCCCCAAAATGGCCACTATGGCCGGCGCTGCGCTGATCCCAAGGCAGGAGCCAGGTGTTTCCTCCTGGTCTCCCATGCGGGTGCAGGGCCCAAGCACTTGGGCCATCCTCCACTGCACTCCCGGACCACAGCAGAGAGCTGGCCTGGAAGAGGGGCAACCGGGACAGAACCGGCGCCCCAACCGGGACTAGAACCTGGTGTGCCGGCACTGCAGGCAGAGGATTAGCCTAGTGAGCCGCGGCGCTGGCCATCCCTCTCTCTCTGTAACTCTGCCTTTTAAATAAATAAATAAATAAATCTTAAAAATAAAAACATATTCAGGGAGGCTGGCGCTGTGACATAGCAGGTTAAAGCCCTGGCCTGCAGCTCCAGCATTTCATATGGGTGCTGGTTCGTGTCCCGGCTGCTCCACTTCTGATCCAGCTCCCTGCTAATGTGCCTGGGAAAGCAGCAGAGGATGGCTCAAGTCCTTGGGCCCCTGCACCCACATAGGAGATTTGGAAGAAGGTCCTGGCTCCTGGCTTCAGATAGGCTCAGCTCCAGCTGATGTGGCCATTTCGGGAGTGAACCAGTGGATGGAAGGCCTCTCTCTCTGTCTCTGTCTCTACCTCTCTCTGTAACTCTTTCAAGTAAATAAAATAAGTCTTAAAAAAAAACATATCAAAGGGAGCATTTATTGGGTTTTAAGGTATGGTAAATTATGCAACCCTCTATCTTCTCTGCCATATGATATCAGCCTGACCTTCTGGCCTCTGAGGATGAGGAGGGATGGAGTTTGAGTTCAGTTGTGTGGTTAATGACTCAAGCAATCAGCCGGCGCCGTGGCTCAATAGGCTAATCCTCCACCTTGCGGCGCCGGCACACCGGGTTCTAGTCCCGGTCAGGGTGCCGGATTCTGTCCCGGTTGCCCCTCTTCCAGGCCAGCTCTCTGCTATGGCCAGGGAGTGCAGTGGAGGATGGCCCAAGTGCTTGGGCCCTGCACCCCATGGGAGACCAGGAAAAAGCACCTGGCTCCTGGCTCCTGCCATCGGATCAGCGCGGTGCGCCGGCTGCAGCGGCGGCCATTGGAGGGTGAACCAACGGCAAGGGAAGACCTTTCTCTCTCTGTCTCTCTCTCTCACTGTCCACTCTGCCTATCAAAAAAAAAAAAAAAATGACTCAAGCAATCATGCCTACACAATGAAACCCCTGTAAAACCTCTAGACACCAAAGCTCCTCCTCAATGGTGAACACATGGGCGTGCTAGTAGAGGATACATCCTGATTCCATGGGGAAAGGGCAGGGAAGTTCTGCATCTGAGACCCTCCCAGACCTCAACTATATGTCTTCATTTGGCTGGTCTTGATTTGTGCCTGCTATGACTCCCCCCGCCAAGGATCTTCTTTATTTGAGAGGTAGAGTTACAGAGAGGGAGAGGGACAGAGAGAAAGGTCTTCAATCTGCTGGTTCACTCCTCAGAGTTGGACTGATCCCAAGCCAGGAGCAAGGAGTTTCATCCAAGGACTTGGGCCATCTTCCATTGCTTTCTCAGGTCATAAACAAAGAGCTGGATTGGAAGAGCAGCTGGAACATGAACCAGTGTCGATATGGGATGCCAGTGCTGCAAGCTTAGCCTATTATACCACAGTGCTGGCCCCTTCTCTGAGTTTTTCTAATGAACTATTGACATTGAGGGGTCCACTATGTAGCCAGTTGGTCAGAAGTATGGGTGATCTGAGGGCCTCCAAACTTGCTGTTGACACCTAAAAGGAAGGCAGTTTTCTTAAGAGTGGTGCCCTTACCCTGTGGGGTCTGCCCTCACCTTGGGTAGTAAGTGTCTGATTGTGTCTGAGTGGTGGCTTCCACCAAAACAGAATTCATCAAGGCCTTGAGGCACTGGAAGTTCCAGCTGCAAAAAGGATAATATTTGGGAGTGTGGGTGGGAGGGCAGGTATAGGGGAAGAATCACTATATTCCTAAAGTTGTACTTACAAAATGCATGAAATGTGTTCCTTAAACGAAACGTTTCTTTGGGAAAAACAAAGGATAATATTTGCTTCTGATACACAAAATGTGATTGCTTCCAAATGGCCAAGTGGCTTTCTCAGGCTGTCAGACTATGTTTCCTATTTAATGAGCAAGTTAGGACTGCTCTTTCACTGGGTCAGTGGAAAAAGAAGGTCTAACAGTCAGGAGGCATAAGGAGAGGAACGGATGAAAACCAGTGATGGAGCGATAAACCAGGGTGGAGTCATCAGCGTATGTGAATTTACTTCACTGGGCCTTGGGCATTTTGCCTAGAAACTTCAAGACAATATGATGAGATGATTGTGTTACAGATTGCATCACAACCTTTTATAGATGATATTATTCATTCCTGTAATTGGTGGTCAGGAATCCACATCTAGACGACATGTACATCCATGTTCAGAGGTACAGAAGCAGCTCAAATTCTCAGTCCTCTAAGTGATTCCTTTTGGGTGGTCATAAGCAAACTTTGACAAAGGGAAGTTGTAATTGCATTTATTTTGCAGGAAGAGAATAAGAAGAAAAAGGTTCAGCTTGATCCCTCACAGGCAAAAGCAGATTACCAGAATAAAACAACCCGTTGTTCTACCAATATGGAAGTTCTCAGCTCTTTCACCATCAACCAAGACTCAATTTATAGAAACACAGAGAGTTGGCCAGAGCAGTGGCTCACTAGGCTAATCCTCTGCCTGCAGTGCCGGCATCCCATATGGGCATCGGGTTCTAGTCCCGGTTGCTCCTCTTCCAGTCCAGCTTTCTGTTGTGGCCCAGGAAGGCAGTAGAGGATGGCCCAAGTGCTTGGGCCCTGCACCCGCATGGGAGACCAGGAAGAAGCACCTGGCTCCTGGCTCCGGATTGGTGCAGTGCGCCAGCCGTGGCGGCCATTTGGGGGATGAACCAATGGAAGGAAGACCTTTCTCTCTGTCTCTTTCTCACTAACTCTGTCACAAACAAACAAACAAAGAAACACCCAGAGGGTAACTGGATATAGATCTTCCTGACAGAAGTTCCACACAAATATTCTTTTTTATTTATTTGCATGCATTTCATAAATACAGTTTTAGGAACATAGTAATTCTTCCCACCATACCCGCCTTCCCACCTACACTCCTTCCTCACTTCCCCTTCCCTCTCATGTTCCAGTCTTGTTTTTTACTAAGATCTATTTTCATTTAACTTTATACACAGAAGATTAACTCTATTCTAGGTAAAGAGTTTAGCAGTTTGTATGAGGAAGAAAAAGAGAGAAAGAAAAACAAAACAAGCAAACAAACAAACTAAAAACAAAAGCATAAAAAAAAAAAAAAACAAGAACAAAAACTGTTCCTCAATAGTCCAGACAAGGGCTGTTCAAAGTCATTGCATCTCTATGATAATTTTGTCTTTTTTTTAGAAACTTAATTATCTTTAAAGATAAATCCAAGAATGATACATCTTTTGTGAACACTTAGAGATAACTATAATTTATGTGACATAAGAATATCCTCCACTAAAACAAATTCTTTGAGAACAAGTTTTACCATGAAGTCTCAAAATACAACCCTTTGAGGACAGAGGTCCTGCACGGGAAGTTAGTGCACAGTAAATTGTTAATTGAACAAATAACACTCTTACATATGATGTCAGTGATCACCTGAGGCTCTTGAGATGAGCTGCATAGGCTATGGAAGGCTTTTGGATCCACACATTCCTTCAGTATTTTGACAAGGCCACAGGCAAAGTGGAAGCACTCTCCTCCCTTCAGAGGAAAGTTCATCCTTCTTTGGTGACTGCTTCTTTTCACTGGGGTCTCATCCTCAGTGTAGAACATTTTTTGCCACAGTTTCTTGGCTTTCCATGCCTGAAATGCTCTCATGAGCTTTTCAGCCAAATCAAAATGCCTTAAGGGTTGATTCTGAGGTCAGAATGCTACTTAAGGTGACTGTCATTCTATGAGTCTGTTGTGTGGAGTGCTTCTCATGTTGGAGCATTCACTCTTTTTAAATTTTGTTTATTATTATTACCAAACACTTATTATTTTTTTTTAAATCTGTTTTATTTATTTGAAAGACAGAGTTACAGAGAGAGGGGTATTCCATCTGCTGGTTCACTCCCCAAATGGCTGAAACTGTGCTGATCTGTAGCCAGGAGCCAGGAGCTTCTTCCGGGTCTCCCACGTGGGTGCAGGGGCCCAAGGACTTGGGCCATACTTCCACTGCTATGCCAGGCCATAGCAGAGAGCTGCATCAGAAGAGGAGCAGCCAGGACTAGAACCAGGGCCCATATAGGATGCTGGTGCTTCAGGCCAGGGCTTTAACGCATTGCACGACTGCACCACAGCCCTGTGGGCCCCTTAATCCTATTTATATGATTACCCTAACACTTGATCCTATCTATATGATCACTTTAACACTTAATCGTATCCACATGATCTCTGTAACACTTAGAATGCTATTTTTACCACCTAGCTTAAGAGGATTTGGGGTCCCATGGCAAGTTCTTAAGCTGTACCCTTAGAAGTAAGCCCATAGGAATGTATGCAGGACTATACTGCTTTACAGTTACAAACTCCATTTATTTCACAGTTACAACTTTAGGGCAAAGACTCTTCTTTATGCTCCCAGCTATTGAATAGAAAACAGCTGAGGCTGCAGAGAGCTCAGGACAGAAGACTGTGATCACCTTTGCTGCATGTTCATTAGCAAGTAGTATTTTCACATCAGTCAGGACTCTTGGAAGTTCACCCACAGGCATTTGGCCTTGTGGTTATGATATCCTTATCCCATATCAGAGTACCTGGGCTTGATACCTGACTCCAACTCCTACCTCCAGGTTCTTGCTAATGCAGATCTGATCCTGGGAGGTAGCAGTGATGGCTCAAGTGATTGGGTCTTTGCCACCCATGTTGAAAACCTGGATTGAATTCCTGACTCCTGGCTTTGGCTTTGGCCCAGCCTTGACCCTTTTGGGCAAATGGGGAGTGAACCAGTGGATGTTAATACTATTCTCTCTCTAATAACTTAAAAAAAATCAGCTCAGAATATCGTCCTCAAATCTGGAATATCATTTGTATGAGTCCATTTTGTGTTACTATAATGAAATATGTGATATTAAATGACTTTACAAAGAGAAGAGGTTTATTTTGGCTCATGGTTTTAGAGGCCAAAAGCTGAGGGGCCACATCTGGGGATGGTCTTCTTGCTGGCAGAGTTCTAAGGAGGCTCAGGATGTCACCTGATGAGAGACAGTGAGTGTGTGCACAAACACACATGTGTGTGGCGTCTCTCTCCCTCATCTTAAAAAGCCATCAGTAGTGGGGAAGAACCACTATATTCCTAAAGCTGTACCTATGAAATTTGTATTTATTAGATAAAAGCTTTCTTTTTTTTTAAAGATTTTATTTTTATTTTTTTTATCTTTTATTAAATGAATATAAATTTCCAAAGTACGACTCATGGGTTACAATGGCTTTCCCCCCCATACCGTCCCTCCCACCCACAACCCTCCCCTTTCCCACTCCCTCTCCCCTTCCATTCACATCAAGATTCATTTTCGATTATCTTAATATACAGAAGATCAGCTTAGTATACCTTAAGTAAGGATTTCAACAGTTTGTTCCCACACAGAAACATAAAGTGAAAAATAATAGATGATTTTTTTTTAATGATGATGAAATCAGATCAGACCTATTGTCATGTTTAATCCCAGTGAGAGTCAAGTTGGGAATTGATAATTTCTTTTTTTTTTTTTTTTTACAGAAGATCAGTTTAGTGTACATTAAGTAAAGATTTCAATCGTTTGCACCCCCATAGAAACACAAAGTGAAATATACTGTTTGAGTACTCATTATAGCATTAAGCCTCAGTGTACAGCACATTAAGGACAGAGATCCTACATGAGGAGTAAGTGCACAGTGACTCCTGTTGTTGACTTTACAAATTGACACTCCTGTTTATGGCATCAGTAATCTCCCTATGCACCAGTCATGAGTTTCCAAGGCTATGGAAGCCCCTTGAGTTCTCCGACTCTTATCTTGTTTAGACAAGGTCATAGTCAAAGTGGAGGTTCTCTCCTCCCTTCAGAGAAAGGCACCTCCCTCTTTGAAGACGTGTTCTTTCCACTGGGATCTCACTCACAGAGATCTTTTTGCCAGAGTGTCTTGGCTTTCCATGCCTGAAATACTCTCATGGGCTTTTATTTGAGAGGTAGAGTTACAGACAGTGAGAGAGAGAGAGACAGAGAGAAAGGTCTTCCTTCCGTTGGTTCACTCCCCAAATGGCTGCAATGGCCAGAGCTGCGCCAATCCAAAGCCAGAGGCCAGGTGCTTCTTCCAGGTCTCCCACGCGGGTCAGGGGCCCAAGCACGTGGGCCATCCTCCACTGCCTTCCCAGGCCACAGCAGAGAGCTGGATTGGAAGTAGAGCAGCCGGGACTCGAACCAGTGCCCATATGAGATGCCGGCGCTGCAGATGCAGGATTAATCTACTATACCACTGCACCAGCCCCTAGAGAAAAGCTTTCTAAAAAAAAAAAAAAAGAAAAAGAAAGAAAGAAAGAAAGAAAGAAAGAAAGAAAGAAAGAAAGAAAGAAAGAAAGAAAGAAAGAAAGAAAGAAAAAGAAAAGCCATCAGTAGGGGCTGGTGTTGTGGTCCAGCGAGTTAACACCCCTTGCAAGGACTGCATCCCATGTCAGGGTGCCAGTTCAAGTCCTGACTTCTTCACTTCTGATCCAGTTTCCTGTTAGTGAGCCAAGGAGGGCAGTGGGAGGTGGCCTACGTCCTTGAGCCCCTGCTATCCCCATGGGAGACCTTCAGCTAGTCCAGCCCTTGCTTTTGTGGGCATTTGGGGAATGAATCAGCACATGCAAGATCTTTCTTTGTCTCTCACTCTCTCTGACTTTTAGCTAAAATGAAAATAAATGATACATTTAAAAATATATAAAGCCACTGTATTCAATCATGGGAGCTCTATTCTGATGGTGGGGGTTAAATTTCAATACACAAACCCTTGGAGGACACACTTAAATGATATCTGAAACATACCATCATTGTTCCTTAGAAAAATATTAAAATATCCATTTTACACTCCTGTACCCAACCCAAACAATTTCCTCAAGTTTTGCCAAACGTTTTTGTTTACTCTCATTGAGTGCATTTCCAACACTCAGTCAGGCTGCTGGTAGAAAACACGGCACATTCAGGAAATTTGTATTTTTTATTATTTTTTTATTCTTTAAATATTTATTTATTTATTTGAAAGTCAGAGTTACACATAGAGAGAGGAGAAGCATGAAGAAAGAGAGAGAGAGGTCTTCCATCTGCTGGTTCATTCCCCAAATGGCCGCAATGGCTGGAGCTGTGCCGATCCGAAGTCAGGAGCCAGGAGCTTCTTCCCAGTCTCCCACGCGGGTGCAGGGGCCCAAGCACGTGGGCTATCTTCTACTGCTTTCCCAGGCCATAGCAGAGAGCTAGATCGGAAATGGAGCAGCCAGGACTAGAACCGGCGCCCATATAGGATGCCAGCGCTTCAGGCCAGGGCGTTAACCAGCTGTGCCACAGCACTGGCCCCTATTTTTTTATTTTTTAAGATTTGCTTATTTATTTGAAAGTCAGAGTTATATAGAGAAGGAGAGAAACAGAGAGATAAAGAGAAGTCTTCCATCCGCTGGGTCACTCCCCAGATGGCCACAATGGCTGGAGCTGCACCGATCCAAAGCCAGGAGCCAGGAGCTTTTTCCAGGTCTCTCACACTGGTGCAGGGGCCCAAGGGTTTAGCCATCTTCCTTTTTTTTTTTTTTGACAGGCAGAGTTGGACAGTGAGAGAGAGAGAGAGACAGAGAGAAAGGTCTTCCTTTTTCTATTGGTTCACCCCCCAAGTGGCCGCTATAGCCAGCCCGTTGCGGCTGGAGCACTGTGCCAATCTGAAAGCTGGAGCCAGGTGCTTCCTCCTGGTCTCCCATGTGGGTGCAGGGCCCAAGGACCCGGGCCATCCTCCACTGCCCTCCCAGGCCACAGCAGAGAGCTGGCCTGGAAGAGGAGCAACCAGGACAGAATCCGGCACCCCAACCAGGACTAGAACCCGCGGTGCTGGCGCCGCAGGCGGAGGATTAGCCTAGTGAGCTGTGGCGCCAGCCTGGGTCATCTTCTATTGCTTTCCCAGGCCACAGCAGAGTGCTGGTTGAGAAGTGGAGCAGCTGGGTCTCAAATGGCATCATGCAATTTTTAAAAAAGATTTATTATTTTGTTGAAAGGCAGAGCAAGAGGAAGAGAGAAAATCTTCCATTTGCTGCTTCACTCCCCAAATGGCCTCAACAGCCTGGACTGGGTCCATCTGAAGACAGAAGACAGGAATTCCATCTAGGTCTCCCGCATCGGTGGCAGCAGCCCACGTACTTGGGCCATTCCTGCTGCACGTTAGCAGGAAGCTGGATTGGAAGCAGAGTGGCTGGGATTCAAACCAGTACTACAATAAGAATGCCACCTTAATCAATCAAGAGCTTAACCTGCTGCACCACAATGCTGTTCCCACACTCAGGCAACTTGAGAAGTCTTTAATATTAACATTCCAGATGTGGTGGGTTTCATGTGCTCCTCACTCTCCTGGTCACTGTGCATCCCTCATCACTCATTGTTTAGTTCTGTCTCACTAACTAGACATCAAGGTGGGAACTACTCAGTTTTGTTCATTTTGTGCATTTTCCAGTTTCTAGCCCAGTGTCTGACATGTAGTAGATGCTAAATAAATACTCTTGAATGAAGAAATGAATGAGATAACTATGTTGAATTATATATATTTCTGTTTTTTTAGTAATTACAAGAAATTGATTTTGTACATGTTAACAGAAAAAAAAGACTGCTTTGCTCTACAGGTGTTTTTCAGGAGACAATGCAACCTGATTTAAAAAAAAGACTATAAGTAACAAAATTTTTATTAGAATAAGCTGTTACTAAATACAAAGGTCCTTAAAAGATAATGCAAAATGAGTATTATGAAAAAACTATGCATTGGGGCTGGCTCTGTGGGTAGCAGATAAAGTTGCCACCTGCAGTGCTGGTTCTAGTCCCAGCTGCTCCACTTCCCATCCAGCTCTCTGTTATGGCCTGGGAAGGCAGTAGAAGATGGCCCAAGTGCTTGGGCTCCTGCACTCATGAAGGATATCTGGAAGAAGCTCCTGGTTCCTGGCTTCGGATCAGCCCAGCTCCGGCCGTTGTTGCCATCTGGGAAGTGAACGAGCGAATGAAAACCTCTTTTTGCCTCTGCCTCTGCCTTTCTGTAACTCTGCCTTTCAAATAAAATAAATAAATCTTTTTAAAAATGCATGAATTTCAAGTCTTTTGCATCCAGAGAAGTTTATCTTTTATTTCTATGTTTCCAGAAATTTTCTGAAGTTCCCTTTTACATGCAAGTATTACCTTATGTTCCAGACCCATTTTAATTTCCATTATGGCATCTTTCTTTGAAATTGGTCTTGCAGTACACTTTTAAGAGCATTTATGATAAAGTTGCAAAATATCAATGCTTGAGAAAACAGCATTTTGAAATATCAAGAATAACTTATTTCTATGGAAAAAGGAAAAGTGATTTTTTTTTCTAGAAATGAAATTTCAATGGGGCCAGCACTGTGGCACAGTGGGTAAACCCACTGCCTGCAGCGTTGGCCTCCCATATGGGTGCTGGTTCGAGTCCTGGCTGCTCCACTTCCGATTCAGCTCCCTGTTAATATGCCTGGGAAAGCAGCTGAATATGACCAAGTGCTTGGGCCCCTGCAACCCTGTGGGAGACCCCGAAGAAGCGCCTGGCTCCCAGATTCAGTTCGGCCTAGCTCTGGCTGTTGGAGCCATTTGGGGAGTGAACTAGCAGATGGAAGACATCTCTCCACCCCTTCTCTGGCGCTGCCTCTCTGTAACTCTGCTTTTCAAATAAATAAATAAATAAATAAATAAATAATCTTTTGAAAACAATTTTAAAAAATTCAAAGTCAAATAGTAATTTTTGGGTTCTTAAATCAGATCCATACATGTAGGCTCACTCCTAGCAAAATCAATACAAACTAATGTGTTAATGTCAATAAATGTTCTACAATTAAATGTATTTGACAGAGTCCTAGGATTCGTAAGACTGCTCAGGTATATCCTGAGGAATAACCTCCTTCGAAGCTGGGGTTCTCTGCTCCCCCTTGAGCCGCGCCCTCTCTCACTTGCGCCTTCCTTATACAGGTTTCCTTGGGCATCACCCTCACTGGCAGGGCTTTCAGCTGCCAGAACTTAGGTCAACCCCAGGTTTAAGCGCTGTGGGTCTCTATTTACAAACCCAGGCTGCTCTGTGTATCCGGTGTGGGACACGCGGTGAAAGTGACCGGTACAGAAGCCGCGAGCCCCGCCCCGCCCCTTCTCTTTTTACAGGTGCTAAAAACACCAAGAAGGTGCGCAGGGAAGCCAAGTTTTCTAAGTCCCGGAA